CCAACGGTGGGCCGCTACGCTACGCTAAATGGTCATTTAGCGTTAGCGTAGCTGCTGTTGCAGCAACCTTTTTTTGTGTAGTGTTAGTTTGCGCTACAGCCCACTACGCTACGCTAACTTTTAGCGGCGCTAACAACACACCTTTTTTTGGGTAGTGTTAGTGCACCGCTACAGCCACTACGCTGCGTTACGCTACGCTACAGCGCTGTTAGCGGCAAAAAAGGCCAAAAAACCGCTAAAAAGCACTGTAGCTTAGTGTAGCGGACGCTTTTTTGCGCCCATGGGCGTAGTGTTAGTGTGGATGAGTGAAATAAAGCTAACACTACGCTAACAGCTAACACCCACTGGCGCCCTGCGTGCGTAGTGTTAGTGCAAATTTTCAGATTTGCGCTAACACTACGCTACATGTTAGCTTATTTTAGCTACACTAACGCTACGGTTAGTCTAGCTGGCCCACCGTTGGATGTACTCAGACAAACCAAAAAAATGGATAAAAAGAACTTTATAGCTGGCTCCCAGCTCACCGGGGCACTGCCAGCCAAATACACCATGATTTGGCAGTCTGGCCGGTGCACCTAGGCGCGCACCTATCAAAAAGGTGGTGCCGTCAACCCTAGCGCTAACTATACGTGCACAGGGCACAAAGAAGTGCCCGCTACGCTGTGTTACAGCAGTTTTTAGGTGTTTTTTTGCTGCTAAAAGCGCTGTAGCATAGTGGCGCGCTAACACTACACCAAAAAATGGCTAGTGTTAGCACCATTACAAATTAGTGTATCACAGCAGCAGTAGTGGCGCGCTAACACTACATGAAAACCAGCAGCTGTTGGTGTCGCTGCACTAACACTACATGGGCCCATAGCGTAGTGTAGCGTAGCAGCCCATTGCTGGTTGTAAACCGCAATGGGAAGTACATAAGGAGTTGACCCATATGTTTTGGATCAAGGAATCAACTGACCACACCTCTCTTGATGGGCATGGATAAACTGGTACCAGCAGTCTCTTTGGATGACCAAGAACTCTGTGGTGTAAATCAAGTTCTGAAAAGGTTGTAAATGCCAAAAGGAATTCATCCAGTGGTTGAAGAGGATTGTGCATACTTGAGCAGAATCAGTGGGTCTAAATTCCAGCCAAAAGTTTCAACTCAAGTATGATTTTCTTTTTCAAAGTATGTGAGAATCAAACTATTGTGAAACATCCCCTATCCTATCAGTCATCATTCATATTGAAAAGAATCCCCCCCCCCCCCCTCCATTGTATCAGTCATCATTCAAAGAGAAAAAAAAAACCCCTCCCCTGTTGGATACTATCAGTCATCATTCAAAGATAAAAAAATGAAGCCCCTCCTTACTCATCAACTCAGACACAGGGAATGTGCATCTTTCATACTGCCTATCATCTGTATTTCCCATTCTTGAAAAAAGTAGGGGGAGGGGGAAGATGTAGCAATTCAATTTGTACCCAAACCATTTTAGAAATACTAGCTTAAGAAATGAGGCCCAACTCACAAATTGCAATGTGAGGAGGGTGCAGGAATCTCCCCCAGCTGAGGAGCCATGTAAGCAACTGGCCAGTAGGTCTCAGTCCAGAGGCAAGAGAGCTAAAATTTGTTTTACATAAATATCTAGAATCTAACAGTGCAATCAAGAACATTTAGACTGGTAAAGTTGGACAAATATTCAAGTTACTGAAAAATATACTCACAATGATAGGCCAGCTGTGCTAATGATAGCATTAACACAGTATAATGTGGTGGGATTCTGCTAAAATATAGTGTAGCACAGCAGAATTCCACAGCAGAATTCCATCACGACTGTGCTAACACTACACATGCAGGCCACAAAAAAGGCCTGCTATGCTGCACTACAGCAGGACTCAGGAAACCCCCTGTAGATGTCAGTAACCTAAGATCCCAGATTTTCAGAAAATCCATACATTTTTGGGACTCATTCATACATGTTTTGTGTGTAGGCTCAGAGGTCAGCCAAAAATTTCATACAATTTCTGTGCCTAACATTTTTTTTGGCTGGTGGCTAGAATTTTGTATTTTTTGTCTGTACCATTTTTTTCCCAACAGGAAGCACATAGCCAAACATTTTTTACAGCTAGTCATTCCTGCTAGCAACTTGCAGGGCTTTGAAAAATGAAAAAAAAGAAATCTTTGCCATTGCATACAGGATGTAGTGGGAGGAACTTATAATTATTAACTATCATCAGCTTGATCTTTCTTTTTGAGAGATTTGATTCCCAGGAATTCCTTTGGTCAAAAAATGACAAGGGGCTTAAAAATATGTTGGGGGGTTAAAAAATTTGACGGGGGTGACATAAAAAAGACTTATGGGTCACTGGAAAGGGGGGGGGGGGGGGTGTGAGGCACCTACTAAATCCCCCTTTTCTTAAATGACTCTGAATAATTCCAAGATGAATTATTGTCTATATTAACTTATTAAGAGATATAGAGGCGAGTTGTCTCTGAGAAAGAATAACTTCTTGAAATTAAATTGAAGAAGATTGTGATTAGTGTTTATGTTTATAAGTCTTTAGTATTTCAAATGATAATGAGAAAATAAGAAAAAAGATATTTCAAAAAGAAAGTAAAGAAAAGGGGAAAAGGAACAAACAGACCAAACATGGTGAAAGTAATATATCTCAAAGCAAACTGATAACCTCATCATGAAATCAACAAGTTAAAGAAGAACAAAGCGTAATGAAATGCTTGCCGTTCTTATTAACTAATCTTTAAGAATTATGAATTAAAGATAAATTCAAAAACGTTACAGGGGGAGGGGGTGCAAGAAAGGAAAATAATAATGATGAATCATACATTTTTGGTTACTAACCTTCATTGTCCCCCAAAAATTCCATAAATTTCAGGTGAGTAACATTTTGCCCAAAAATACCCATTCATAGGTATCATTTTGGGTTTTTTACTGACATTTATTGGGGGTTTGCTGGGTCCCTCTACAGTGCCTTTGAGCGGGTTTTTGGTAGTTTTTGCCACTAAAAGCGCTGTAGCTCAGCATAATTCAGTGTTGTGGGACTAACGGTGTGCTAACACCACAGGGCTGGTGTGCTGTTTTGAGGGCCCCTCCTACACTAACATTAGTGGACTGTTTAGTGTAGTGTAGTTTACTGTAGCATAGTGGCCCATTTCTGATACTTATTACTCAACAGCACCTCATGCTGAGTACCAAGCATATAAAACAGTTAACAACAAGGAAATGGGCTCAATGACATCACCATCACAGGAGGCAGTTTACTTCATCTTATCTCATAAGGTGTGGACCATCTGAGAAGGAAATCTTGCAATTGCCTCCAGAGGATTGATTCCATTAAGCAATTTCATTTCATTTTATTTAATTTTTCATCCTTATCAGAAGTAGAAGCCTATCATCATTCTCTTAGGTAAAATTCCAAGTCTTGTAACAATATCGTTTTAAGATAGAATGATTTCTAATAAGGAAATAATATCCCAATCTTTTAGATTCTCTCAACCATCACTCATGCATGACAAGGTTTACATCTTACTGATACATGCATGACAAGGTTTACATCTTACTGATACAGAACTTTAGTTAAGCACAAGCATCAGATTGTGCATGCCAAAGGGAGCTGCCTTCCCCCCAAGAAAAACGATTAACACTTAATTATGAAAGGTCAACAAAGGTTATGCTTTACACAACAGACTCAAACTGCTGATTTGAAGACAAGTGAACTCTTCTTAATACAGCAAGAAAACACCAGGAAAGGATATTTAAAATTCATGATTTACGTTTCAACACCATAGTTATCAATTGATTTATTTCCCAAAATTCCCTCCACTTGAAACAGCTTTTTTGATGCAATACAACCGTAAAAAGCAACGAGTGAGTCCAGTAGACGTTCTTGATTTAGTGCGAAATTGATGGAAAGCTTTCTTGATGATTTATTGGTGCATCGCATGCAAGCAAATTCATTTGCTAAGGAGAGAGACTGAAATCCAATGGTGACAGAAGAACTCAAACCCTCTGAAACTTGAGAACTGCTGTCCGTCCAACTCCTACTAACCAGGAAAAGAACCTCGACTGAAACAGGTGGCCACGACTGGTGATGCAAAAGTGAGAATTACAAAGCAAAACAAAAACTGTTCTGGTAGTGGTTATTGAGCATGTGCTACGCCAATTCTTTCACAGCAAACTCTCCACACTCAACCAAACTTCCAGTCATCTGATTTCTCCTCCAAAATACTGGTAGTGTATTGCCCCTTGTAGCTGTTTTTATTTGTGGAGTCCAAGTAGATAAATAATTAGTTCATGACTGTGCCGTCTCTCATCCATTTTTTTTTGTATTCCCCTTTGTTTGGAAAGAAGGACTCAAAAGGAGAGCAATGATAACACCAAACATCTCAAATGGTAATTTACCTGACTATGGTGTAGTCGTATGGTCTGTATACAATCAATCTGGATATAGAATCATCTTTTTTTCATCTTCATAAGTTCCTCTTTTTCTTTTGTCCTTTTTTATATAACACAAAAAAAAACAACAGAAACATACAAGAAAACGACAAGGAAAATCAGTTTATTTATGGTCATGTATGTACATGCATCTCTCTTGAATCTGGCTGGACTTATATATATATATACTAGGGTTTAGGGGCGGCTGCGCCGCCCTGGTACACTTAAGGTACCACGAATGTTCAATCACGTTTTCAAGCTCTAGAGGGCAAATTATCACGACAAATTCATGATCTTTGCATCAATGATCTATCCCTGCATTCCATCTCGTCAAATTCCATAGAACAACTGCATAATTAACAGTTCAGACTTAAACAAAACGCCTCCACTTGAATAAAAAAAAATTATTTTGTGGGTGATGATTTCAAGCAATCATTAGCAAAGAAAGTAAGAGCGGAGTATCAGAACAATGCTTACAGAATAAGATTGTTGGAAACAAGAGAACAATCGGAGTATCGTTTTTCTTTTTTCCAAATGCCCTCTGTGTGAGAATCGCTCCCTTGAGAATGAAACAGATCGAATCGGTCAGCTAGGCGGCAAGAAAGATTGACATGGTTGAAAAATGATTGAGTCGAGGTGGCACACTTCAGACTTACCATGAATATAGCAAGGATTGAAGAGTTGATCCCGTTGAATAGTTGAAGGGGAGAGAAGAGGTCTGTCAAAGTGCACTATGAGTAGACAGATAGAGAGAAAAAAAGGTCAATGGAAGAAATTGGAAGGGAATGGAAGGAGGAGTTGATCGCCCGAAGCTATTGACAGCACTACATACCTTGCAGGCAATCAAAATACAAGAGAAGGAGGAAACAAGTTCCGATCCACCCTAAGTGGGTGAGGTGGTCGGAGCAGGAGTAGAGGATCCAGCTTATTAGTAGATTGATTTGAGCACTGTCTTCACGGCCACAAGCCGGCGTAGCCGGCTCTGAACTTTTGAAAAACGGTCACAACGATCGCAACTGACTTTTTCTTTGACCAACTCCAGACATCTATCTAACCATAGCAACACCCAGGTCAATACAATTTAGAGCGCAATGGAAATGGAAATTTGTAGGTAAGAACGCGTGCGCGCCCCATTTATCCCCAATGATGATGGATCTTTAACCATCCAAATTCAATCGTCAAGTCGACCAGGACTCCTCCCCCGATTCGAACCAATAACCGCACCTGCCTATTCCATTTCTTGCAATGCAAATCAGCTACCTGCTCTTCCCAATGGCGAAAGCTTATGGATTTGCTTCGTCGGGTCTTTCATGTCATCATCTTAATCGTTCACCGCACTCCCTCACTGCGCTTCTATCATTACCCTGTCATCGGACCTGTGATATTCGGGATTGCCAAAATTTTTCATGTCCACGGTCCACTTTCCACTGTCATGGAACAACCTGGAGGCGTATGTGCGACGTTGTCCGCTGTCTAGATTCATCACTCCTAGCTAACCATCAACCCTTTTTTGAATCACACAGACTCGGCTTGTTCATCTCGGTCTAAATGACACGAGTCTCACAGCTCTCCGGGGAAGCCATGGTGAGGGAGAAGGATGTTGAGTTGGCATAAGAATAGGAGGCAAAAGAAGTGGTATTTATCGGTGAGGAATGGGGGTTGTTTGTGGATGGGTGGAAAGAAATGCTTATGGGTGAAAAAGGTAAATGTAATGGGAAGTCTAAAAGGTGAATAAGAATGTACGGATCCGGAAGGTGATCTGGAACATGGCATTATTGAGTAGAGAATTGGTGGAAGAAGAATGATCTGTTTCGAAGCTCTCGGTGTGCAGGCTGCGTTTGGGTACGCATTTCATTCTGATATTGGCAAGTGTGTTGAGTATAAGATTAGGGCAGGGGTTTGTATGGCCGCTATTTCTTGGGTTGGGAGAAGATTGAGGATAGTTTCTTTGGAGTGGATAAAAGGGGAAATCTTCGGAGTAGGTGCATGGAGGCCGAGGAGGTAAAAAAGGAAAGATTGAAGTGTGATGTTTTCGAAGAAGGATTTATCAACCGTTATTGGAGAAGTGAAGAGAAAGATGATGGAAAAGGTATGTTTGGAGAGTTCTATTGTGCGGTGAAATAGGAAAGGTGTGAGGATGGGTGGGTGTATCGGTCCCATCAGGGCCATGGCAAGTTGTGCCATGCGTACAAAGAGCGTGAACAAGTATAAAAGGAGACCTCTTGTGAAGGTGTAAACCCCATCGTATGACTCTTGTTCGGCGGCATCGCTTAGATCATACGATCCGGGGACAATACCCGTAGGAGGAGGCAGGTTTTTTTTTTTTAGGACGCAGGCGGTTTGCTTAAGCTTAAACTGTTGATATCTATTAGCATGTGTTGATTGATTAATTTATACTGAGACAAAGGATAATCAAAGCAAATACGAGAGAAAAGTCGCAATCGGTTGATGATGGATCAGAGGGAAAACGATTCACAACAAGCTTGGCAGTGTGCCCAATTAGTATCTTCGGTTTCAATACACGCGAATGTCGATATGATCTAGTGATAAGATTGTACATTTGACTGAGCCGCCATCCGGAGGGATTTCGATCACCTTTCCATCGACACACACTTGATGGGTCTGATCCTGATCAGTCTGTAACCAAAACAGATGAGAGGTTTATGTTAGTCATCACGGAGCAAGAGCATTCGAAAATAGTAAAAAAAAAACGGAGACAATGGATCTTTACAGGAGTCCAAACCCAGCCCCCGCAGCGATAATACTCGACGATTGGGAGTCCATCATCCGTCAACAGATTGATATGATCGCCGTCCTGATAAGCGTTTTGCAAGACGAGGCTGACGAATTTAGTGATTGCTTCTTTTCGAGGCTGTGAGTCAGAAGAAGAAGAAGAAGAAGAAGAGTGAGGGTCTTCTAGCAGCGATTTGAGGCTGGGATCGCGGGTGGGTCTGATGATCACCAAGTCGATCGTCGCGGCTCTAGAGGAGTCTTCCGATAGCGGCACACGGTCCGGATTCCTCAAGGGTGCGATGATAAATTTGCTCTCCAATCGATCGACCAAACAGGCCGTAAAATAGCTGAATGGTCCCTCCAGTCGAACTTCCAGTGTTCCATCCTGTCCAGTCTCCATCCTCACGGGTAAAAGCGTCTCGGTCGTCGGGTCGTACCGTTGGATCGAGCCATCGAGGGTGGATGGAAGCAGGCCCACAGAGGCATTCCAGGTCCGGGAAACGTTGCTCAGAAACGCTCGTTGAAAGACCTCGATTCCTGAGGATTCGTAGTCCGGTTGGAGGGCCAATTGGTTGGCAGTCTCGAGGATCGAGGCATGTAAGGCGGTCGAGGTGACGACGAAGGAGACGGATTCTTGGGTGACTGTCTTGGTGCGATCGAGCGTCTGGACATCTGCCAAGGGCACTCTGGGCCGTGGAGGCTCGGGCAATCCATCGGCCCGACGAGTCGGTTCGAGTAGAGCGTCCAACAGACCTACCAGGATGTCTTTGGGTCTGTGCAGCTCTTTCACTTTGGGGTGAGTGTTGAAGAACATCGCATTCGCCGTGCCCAAGGGAACGATGACCAGGTCGAAGTGGATCTGGCTACTCGGATCATCTGGATCACACTTCTTCCGTTCCTGAAGACTGCCATAGGCCTGGTTCAAGAAGTCTGATATCGTCCCATCTCCACCTAGGATGATCACCTTGGTTGAGCGATCTCCATCGGTCTTCTCAAGGAGCTCGTCTTCCCAGCCGGATTGCCGTGATTGGTAGACTTGGATCTCGGATGTGGGGATGCCGACGAGATTGAGGATGGGCAAGACGATCCGATCGAGCCATTTCTTCGCTAACCTTTCCCCAGCTCGGTCATTCCAGATAATCATCCATCGTTGTTCTGTCCTCGATGAGCCTTGCGCCTGTAGGAAGGGCACGAAGTTCTCCCGGACGATGTTGAGGATCTGGTGGGACGGTGGGGCGGAAAAGAACTTGGGGGTGTCCTGGTCGTCACCCGCTGCTCCATTCGTCGCCGGGCCTTCTCCATCGGTGGTTCCTCGAGCTTCTTGTCGGCCTGGTTGAGGTCGCTCGGGAAACGTGAGCCAACATAATCCGCCCTTCTGCTCAGGCCGTCCTTCCTCCCCAACTGGGTCTGATGTTGTTGTTGTTGTTGATGGTGGTGGTGGTAGGACGTAGAGAAGGTAATCTCGTTCGGTTTTCATCTTCCTTCCTCGACCGTTTCAGGCTGGTAGTTACCCCCCACCTCTTCCGTCCCGAGAGCACGAGGTGGTGATCACCAAGTTAATTGATAAACAGACTTCACACTCTCATCAACCATATCACTGCCTCACCCACCTCAATCCATACATCATTTGTACATTTCTTTCAATTATTGGCTCATTTCAGATAAGTAGAGTTTGGATCTATGGAAGATATTTGTACACCACACTCCGTTTGACATGGCTTGCCCATGCAAGAAGGCATGGTTTGAAAAAAAGAAAATGATCACCTCAAGGATAGTACAGTCACCTCCCAGTTGTTGATGGCCCGTTTGTTTGGATTTCACAGCCTCAATCCATCACCTTGAAGTCATAATAATTGGGGAAACTGTATAAAATAGGTTTCAGAAAATGATTCTGAAAACATAATCCCAAGAAAATGTTTTTTTAAATTTTATAAAGAATATCACAATTATTGCAGGTTTTTCAGAAGTTTTAATATGACTCCAAAACAATTATGTAAATAAAAATTGGAAACAAGAGGTCTGATCTGACTGCTTCATCTCCTTATTTTGTAGCGCACCAGCAGGAGGAGCCAACACTGCATGCAACCTATGTGATCATATGATAGATCATAGGGCCTTCTTGGTCCCAACTATTTCTCTTATCTTTCCCATGCAGAATGAGTTGCTGACCCTTTACTCAAAGGTTACCTGGGTCATCATAGGTCACATCATGCTTGAAGTAACATTCTTACGGGTGTGCAATAAGCTCCAAAGATGATACAGCTCAGTATGGCTCTATCCCATCTGTACAGAGCCATAAAGACATACAGGTATGTAAGATCTTGAAGAAGTTCTAGGAATATCTACAAGGTCCATCCAGAAACTTTAGACCAAAAGACCAACTTGAAGACTAGGTGGGAGGTGTTGTAGATGGCCCCAGACCCTGGGTGCGATGCTAAAAAAATGGAGGAGATGCAGGCCTTCTGTATGGTCTAATCGGCAAAAGGAAATTCCATCGGGAAGGTGGAGCAAGTGGGCAGGCAAGATTTTGCCCGCTAGTACATAAAATGGCCTCAGCTTCCGCGCCAAACCACAGCCTTCAGTCTCAAGCCCCTCCTTCGGGGGCTTGCTTCGTGCCGGCCTGGCTATACCAGGCCCTCCGTTGAGGGACGGCCGTAGCGGGTGCATCCCATGGACGCTCCGCTTCCCGGTGCCCTCCCGACACCACTACATCACTGTTTGGGCTATCCCCTTAATCCGGATTCAACGATGGACTCACAAGATCAAGCAAGCTTAGAAGGACGAGCACCTCCGACCGAAGAGAACGAACGCGCTCGTTTCCGAGAACTCCATCGAGTGGATATCGATCCAAATTCCTTCTCAGCCTTTGTCACGTTGGCTGGATGTACGTAGAGTTTGATTATTTCATCCCCCTCGATCGCAACAAGCTGATTTGTGATTGATGGTGTTGTGTCATGGCACATGAAGTGGAGAAAGTGCAAGAATACCATGACCGACTGGAAGCGGTATTTCGGATTGAGATAAGCAATGGGAGACCAAAAGAATCTTGCACCGCTTTGTGGGAGGCTTTGGTCGTCTCAAAGCACTGCTCTTTTAACGTCTTCAGGGAAGCACTCTTACTGACCGAGGAAAAACATCCCGATCAGATAAAAGAATTTCTCCGTCTTGCTTACTTCCATCAATATCCTAAGCATGATTCTTCCAACCTCTCGAACAAACAAATGGCCGATGCAATCAAGGGTGTCGTCGCCAACAAACCTGAGAAGCCTCGCGACTCCGAATCTGTTCATCCGGACTGGTCTGTCGATATCGTGAAGGCTGGTTTTCAGGCAGAGTATAAGAATTCCGATCTTATCGTCAAACCAAACCTAGATCTCCTCCGTGATATGGCGGGTGCATGGTCGCAAATAAATTACAAGGCGCCCTTCACTTCGATCGTCGGCTCGACATGAGCGGCAAAACTCGATTACTGCTGGGAAT